ATGTGTGGCACATTTATTAATAAGCTATGATTATAATAAAGCTTTAGGCCTAGATATCAGATTATATCATTTGATCTTAAGAGCTAACATTATTAATGCGTTATTTGTTAAGCATCCCAAATGTGTTAGGTTTTGCAGTCATTCCTTTCAAGGAGTTTAAATGTTACTAGGAAAATTTGTTTGTTTTCCCCATGCAATGGTTGAACAAAAGAGGTAAAAATGAATTGAAAGATTTTACGATATATTCTTTTACCTCTGCAGGTAAAATAAATCTGAAAACCTATTAATAGCTATTGCAGATAGTTTCAATTCAATTATTATCATTATTACTATTCTTATTTTGAGATGGAGTCTCACTCTGTTGCCCAGGCTGGAGTGCAGTGACATGATCTCAGCTCACAGCAACCTTTGTCTCCTAGGTTCAAGCAATTCTCCTGCCTCAGCCTCCCTAGCAGCTGGGACTACAGGCACGCACCACAACACCCAGCTATTTTTTTTTTTTTTTTGGGTATTTTTAGTGGAGACGGGGTTTCACCATGTTGGCCAGGCTAGCCTTGAACTCTTGACCTGAAATTATTTGCCCCCCTTGGTCTCCCAAAGTGCTGGGATTACAGGTGAGACCCACCACGCCTGGCCCCAAATCAGTTATTAATGTAAAGACATGTGAACATAAGCATTCTATTGTTTCACTTAGTTTCCGTCAACATTTTAAGAAACTTCATCACTATGTTTGACATATGTTCTGCCCTCCCAAATACTCAGTTAAGTTACTGTGTATCATTTCTTTATCACAAAGTTTGACTTCCCCCACACTGCTTATTTCTGCTCTTGAAGACTCTTCTATGAAAAAGGTTGGAGTCACTCATTAGTTGATGATGTTCAATGATCTATAATTGACACCAAAATCTGGAGACTCTTCTCAGTTCAGACATTGTTATTTTATATTCCAATACTTTGAGGGTTTTGAACGTTTTGCTTTGATGGATTTGTGGAATATACCGACCTGAACATCCTTGTTATTATATATTTGTCATATATAATTCTCATTTCACATGTTTCTGTGGCTTTTCTATCATTGTGTTACATTCCCAAGACAATTTTTAGGTTGGTATACTCTACAAATGTATCTTTTTCAAGATTACCCTAAATCCAGTGTTTCCATTAGAAGTTCTAGCTCAAGTATCTCTATTCATCTTTAGATTGAAATGGTGTGCATGAAATAACCCATTAAAGCCTTCAAAGTAGGACGAGGAGATCATTATTGTTCTTCTCACACTGTGGCATCTGGGGAAGGCTGATCCATGTAAAGAGAGGGCTGGCTGGTAAGACCTATAAACATGTTCTTCTCATGAGCAATGTCCTTGCAAGTCATACATGCAACAGGGAGGCAAGCCTGGCTTGTGGCAGGATGCAAAACTTGGATGTCAAAGTTCAGATTGAGATTCCAGAGCTATGACTACCAGTTGTAAAAATTGCAACTATTTTCATATCCCCCTATAGTAATAATATTTCTTTCATTGTCCTCAAAAGATTATTGTAAGGATAAATGATGCATATGAAAAAGTTTTCAAACTTGTAAATTTCTAAACAAATTTCAATTGTTGTAATTACTGTTAATAACAACTGTAAATCATTAAGAATGGGTTAAAAATATAAACTCCCTCAAAACCTAAGATTCAAGGAAAAGACTTGAAAGACTACCTTCATTTATTAATTAATTTTTAACCGCTCAATCTATTGCATTTCCCATGATTTTGTTAGTTAAGTGACATGTTTTTTAAGAGCAATGTCTCCTAATTCAAAAATAACAATAAAATTCCTTTTAAGAACTAATAGGCCAGGTGCAGTGGCTCACACCTGTAATCCCAGCACTTTGGGAGGCTGAGGTGGGCAGATTACCTGAGGTCAGGAGTTCAAGACCAGCCTGGCCAACATGGCTAAACCCTGTCTCTATTAAAAATACAAAAATTAACTGGGTATGGTGGTGCACACCTGTAATCCCAACTACTCAGGAGGCTGAGGCAGAAGAATCGCTTGAACCCGGGAGGTGGAGGTTGCAGTGAGCTGAGATCGTGTCATTGCACTCTAGCCCGGGAGACAGAGCAAGACTCCATCTCAACAACAACAACAACAAAAAAAAAAAAAAAAAAAAAGAGAGATTTGACAATCCAAGGTGGAAATAGACATCTATTTTCATCTGTTAACTTGTTTTATAAAGGTTGCATGTTGGCTTATTTTAATAACTTGATTACTTAACTCTTAGAATGTGTCTTGTCTTTATTTGGAAGAATAACAAAGCATATTTTTCCCAGTATAAAACTATTGTACACTTTGAGAAAAAAAAAAATGAAAAAAAAATGGGTCACATTTAGATCTAATAAGTCCCAATGGTGCTTTTTATTTAACTTTTTATTTAACTTTCTTCATTGTGAAACTGAAGTTCCAATATGGCATCATATTAAGACAACAACAACAACATGCCCTAGTTTTATGGCTTTCAATGGCTGTTATTAAAAAGAATTACTTGGATTGGCTGCAATAGTATATGAAGAGATAAGTTAATCAAATATTTTTCCTATATTGTGCCACTTTAATATGCTAAACTGTGTACTTCATCATCTTTTAAGGAAAAGCACACAGATTCACAGACACATTTTTCTTGCAATAGAAACATCCAGCAAGACAGCTCTGAATAGCGTGATTAACTGAAATAATGGTGGCCCTTAGGGTTTTAGTCTTTTCCTACTTCATAATATTTTAGGTGTGTTATTACCTTAGGTGAGCTCTATTCCCCAAGAAAGATGACGCCAAATTAATTCTCTGTGACTTATGTCATCGATACAGCTAGGATAAAAATAAAACTATGTGTCTCTATCCTTTATGAGATTTTAGGTAAGTATTTTTTTAAAACTTATTTCACAAAAACTGCTGAATTTTCTATACCCTGATAATGATTGTGGACTCTTAGAAATAAATCTTCACACACAGACAAATGAGATTAAACACACTCAGGCACAGACACACACACAAATTCATTTACTGTGGTGAATTCAAGAACACTATTTTATTGAATTCTCCCTGATACACGATGTAATAAAATGAGAAATTCCTTCAAAGTAAATGTGTCTTTCCCTTACTTCAGTCAAGCATACCATGCAGTGAATGAACACTGTTCCATTTCTAAGTTTTTAGGATAGGTTGCATTTGCTACCTTGCTCATTCCTGCCAAGATTCCATCAGTCACAGTTTTTCAGGAAGTTTATGTCTAAAAATCACCAAAATTCCTTTTGTTTGTATGAGTAAAAACGACTTCAAAAATAACGGATTAAAATAATCTTTGAACAGTAACCAAAAATATACAAAAATGACACTATAATCTGGCTAAAAATGATTTGATATATAGATGAATTTCATTGGAATACACTTGTTGATGAAATAATAAAAGATTTTTTGAAGCTATATAATTTTACTAAGTTTTTAAAAATATACTATCTTCTTAGAGCATGCTAGTATACAATATTCTTAATTACTTTTGGTTAAGAAAGCAATTAACTAATTTCTGCTTTGTTCTCATTTTCTCTGGAATTTATTAAAATCTATTCAATAAATGCATTTCTGAAAGTGATACAAAGCAGATGTGCCCATAAAATAAAAATAAAATAAATCAAATGGAACCACTTAGACATACATTATACAAAAAGCTGTATCTTAAGCAGTAAAATTTTATTGTAGTAGTTGGTTATCCTGATAGAGATAACATTTTAAATACTGAAATTGGTGAAATAGATATCAATGAAATAGTGAAAATAGTGCAATTTTCTAATGGAAAAATTAGAGAAGTAATGAGAGAAAATGAGAAGAACAATTGAAATATAGTCAAGAGCAGTCAGTCCAGAACCTAGTGTTTTCAAGGAGGGTTATGTGATGTAGTATGTTGTGATTTATTAATGTGTGTTTTCCACAAGAGTTTTATAATCAAAGAAATTTGGTAAATTCTGCATCTCATATTCTTCTCTTGAGAGTCACAGTGTATTTAAAGTTTCTAAGAAGTCTTACATTATTTGAACCTGTGCAGATACTTTTCATTGTGGTAAAATACACATAACATGAACTTTACCATTTTAAAGTGTATAGTTTAGTGGCTTTAAGTACATTTGGAATATTGTGCAACCATCACTGCTATCTATCCAGTCCAAGCTATATAGCTTTATTTTATTTTATTTTATTTTATTTTATTTTATTTTATTTTTTGAGAGACAGAGTCTCACTCTGTTGCCTAGGCTGGAGTGCAGTGGAGTGATCGTGGCTCCCTACAACCTCTACCTCCCGAGCTCAACCAATCCTCTCACCTCAGCCTCCCAAGTAACTGGGACTAAAGGTGCATGCCACTATGCCCAGCTAATTTTTGTATTTTTTGTAGAGATGGGAATTTGCCATGTTGCCGAGGTTGGTCTCAAACTCCTGGCCTCAAGTGATCCTCTCACCTCAGCCTCCCAAAGTGCTGGGATTACAGGCCCAGATATATAGTTTTTAAATCATTAATATGACTACCCATCCCTTTGGGAATATCTTTTAATTTTAGTGTGTCTAGAGCATATATTCATAAAAAAGCTGACCAAATCCAATCTTCTCATTTTAAAAATAAAAAATTTAAAATATGACTGAGAAGTAAGATGTCTTGCTTGAGATCACAAAGTAGTTGGAACAGAGCCAGTGTCATCCAGATTTCCCATTTCCAAGAATAGGGTCTTTTCTATTTCAAGGTATTTTCCCCTTATCTCCATTTGTATTCTCTGGTCTAATGATCTAGTGATCTAAAAGCAATACTTCATAATTTTACCTAGAAGAGCTCTGGATAAAAACAAGCATCTTTTATCTTTAAAAAGGTATCACTTTAAAAATGTACACAGTATTTGTGTTATAACTCTCTCATTGCGATTTTCTTGTGAGAATTTTCATTGTAAGAAGTCTCTTTTTAATTCACATAATTCTGTTCTTAGGTCTTTTTAAGATCGTGGCTGATAAAACTCCGTACCTTACTATGGAAGAAATCACAAGGACCATTCATATTGGACCAAGTAGACTAGGGCATCCTTGCTTCTATCATCAGAAGGATATAAAACTAGAGAACTTCATCATAGAGCAGGGTGAGCAAATCATGCTCAACTCAGTTGAAGAGATTGATGGAGAAATAATGGTGAGCTGTACAGTAGTAAGGAATCATCAAAATCACTCATTTAATTTGCCTTTGTCACAAGAAGGAAAATTCTACGAATGTGAAGATGAACGTATTTATACTTTAAAGGAGATTGTTGAATGGAAGATTCCTAAGAACAGAACAAGAACTGTAAAACTTACAGATTTTTCAAATAAGTGGGACTCATCAAATCCGTTTCCTAAAGACTTTTATGGTACCCTGATTCTCAAGCCTGTTTATGAAATTCAAGGTGTGATGAAATGTGAGTATCCACTGAGAATGGTGTTCTATGAGCATGAACATTGTGGAGTTTGGGAAAGAAAGGTTTTAAAGGCTGAAAAATGAGAGTCTGTCTTTATTTCACCTATTAAGCCTCTGAGAGTTAGATTCCTCATCGACCAATAAGCAAGCCATATATCCATTCCAAGGATCAAATTGAATAATGAATATACAAGTATATTGTAAATTGTACGGTACTATTCACATGTGAGGTGCTATAACTATCAGGAACAGACAGATCAAACTACTAATTTATTTTTGTTACTGTCAGTTAAATATGACTAGAAAAGAGCTACTTTTAAAAGATAGAACATATTTAGTGAGAATGAGGCTTTCTTGTATGGAGGTGGTCAACAAAAGAGTAAATATGGAAAGTTTCCTTAATGCATCCCTTACTTCTATTTTTCTGACAGTCTTTTTTTTTTTGTTCCATCCATCCATTATTGACTATAAATCTCTACTATCCCAGAGCTTCTCTGTCTTAAGGGAAAATGATATGATAAATTAATTCACATATAGGCATGGTGGGTTTTTTTTTTTTTTTTTTTTTTTTTTTTTTTTTTTGTGACGGAGTCTCGCTTTGTTGCCAGGCTGGAGTGCAATGATTCTCCTGCCTCAGCCTCCCAAGTAGCTGGGACTACAGGTGCTGCCACCACGTTCAGCTAATTTTTTTATATTTTTAGTAGAGATGGAGTTTCACCATGTTAACCAGGATGGTCTCGATCTCTTGACCTTGTGATTGACCCACCTCAGCCTCCCAAAGTGCTGGGATTACAGCTGTGAGCCACCACACCCGGCCCAGCGTGTTTTAATATGTAATCTTCATAGAATTATTTGCATTTTGAAATAGGAATATCTAGAGAGAGCATTGTTACTTCAAAGGTGTTAATACCTTGAGTTTTCAGGATTATGACACATGAGTAGGATGGATAATAAAGAGTTCTGAACTTGGAGTCCTAGATTCTAATTCTGGGTCAGTAACTTAATAGGTGTTGGTTTTCAGCGCACCATTTAGACTCCCTGTTTATGCAAAGAAAATGGTGATACTCTTTTGCCTACCTTTTAAAGTAGTGTTGAGAGAGAAATTAAGGTTTTATTAAGGTACTATTATACTATACACTTGAGAACAAAAAACAGTATGTAAAAACATTTGTTCAAAATGTCCTCCTTAGGTGTCTTTTAAAAAATATATTTTTCTCTGGACTCATTAATACTGTTGGCCACATACAATTATTGAAAAATCAATATGAATCTTTTGGCAAGTATTAGAATTGTTCCTAAATTCTGTCACAAACAAATATTTAATCAGAAATTAATCAATTCAAGTTGAACTGAAGGTATAGGCAAGGAATTCCACTTAATGAATGCTAAAAATGAGTATTTTCAGTATTACAAAAAATTGAGGCAACGGCAAATTGTAGACCCCACATTAATGTTCTATTAGCGATCCCTAAATGTGCAGTTGAGATGAGTAATTGAGATTTCTTTGATTTTTATCAATAACAGTGTTTTCCCATTTTAAAATGTGTTACTTTCTAAAACTATTGGCATCTCCTGCCTATTGCATAGTTACAAATGAGGGTAAACCTACAACCTAAGCAGCACATGGATAAAGTGATTACAACATTTATTAAATTAGGAAGCAAGAAAGCCTACTCTGCAGAAATGGCATTTAAATGAAGCCTCAAAAGATGCATAGGAGGTAATCAGGCAAAGAAGAAGGGGACAAGGTTGGAGAATTCCAACCTTGTCATTAAGTGGACAAGCAGTGGTATGGGGGCAGCAGATGAGAAAGGGATGGGAGCACTAGTGTAGCTGGTGTGAGAAAAAAACGGAGAGGGCAGGTTGAAACAAATATGAACACGTGCAATGGGGAGTGGAATCAATCATGGAGGGTCTTGAAGTATATACTAAGAGGCTAAAATGTGTCATAAGGGCAAATCAGTAAAAGGCTTTAAGCAGGGAAAGACAAGAACAGAGGAGAGTAGTGAGGCCAGTTGAGTGCCAGGGTACAGGAAATTTATACAACAGAGACAACAGTGGGAAAGACAGAGAATCATAGTTGGGCTTTATGGGTATTTAAGAAGTACAATGAGCAAAATGTGAAGGTCCGTTGGAAGGAGAAAGACGCCAAACTTCTTCCCAGCTTCTTGTCTTGATGCACTGGATGGAAGTGCAGTCTATTGAATGTCATCATCAGAAGATCAGGGGATATTAACGTATTTGTTTAGGTAGGACTTAACTGTGAATTTATGTTAACCAAGACCCAGAAGAAAGCCCTTGGTTGAAATAATACTGTTTACAAATTGTTTTAGTCTAATTCCCATTATTTAACGCTATTTAAACTAAATTCTCATTTTAATTATACTGGATATTTAATTTCATAGGGATTATTTTAAACATTAGTTCTTATTGTATAGCAATTTCAGCACAAAAACTGCATGAGACTGGATTGCATGTGTATTGACTGCAGAATATTTCCTGGAAATAGAGGATGGGTGTCTTATCACAAATACCTAATTTAAAATATTTTTATTGTTGTAGGCATTTTTGCCCTGAATATAAAATATAGACCATATTTTGAATCCATTGTGGTTTTGTTTTACATGATTCTTTCTTAACTTGAAGATTCAAACTTTCCTTGAGGTCAAGGAATGTTACTAAATTGCTTTCCACAGGCCTTGAGTGTCAGTCCAAACCCTTCTTGGCTAGAATGCTTCCTTTCCAAAGCGACAAGAAAAAGAGTAGGTGTGAGCAGGGAATTCGAAGTTTTACAGAAACCTTAGGGGAAAGAGCAAGATGAAAAATAGAACTACAGGGAGCCATGAAATACTGATTTGCTGAAAAGAGAACATAACAAGTATGTAGAGATAAGAGAAAATATAAGATATTCTACTCTTATTGCTAGTTTTTTATTATTAATGTGAAATTTTGAGTTTCATAAAAAATAAAAGTGTTTAAATAAAGTGTTTGTTTCTGGAAACTTGGCCAAAATCTGTTATAGATCTGAAACTCCCTAACCCTCATCACACATTTAATGATTTAGAAAAAATTATCCTTCTTCGGAAAATAGATACACATAACAGTGCAAACTTCAAACTACTAGTCTTATATAAGTCACTTCACGATGTGTATTGTGCCTTTCTCAGGAAGATGAAATTCATATTAACATATTAAATGGAATACATAATATTTGCAAATGAAAAAATTGAGTGAGCTATTTAAATTTGCCTCTGAGAGAGGTCTTGACCATTAAAACTTTTAAAATAGTGTCGTGTTTTGACATATAGATTGATAATTATTTCTTCCCTAAGTGAAAATTTCAGAGTTGTATAACTTTCTTTTATGAAAAAACCTCAATACCTGTCAAATTTGGGGGGAATGGTTTTAGCCCAGATACGAAAAAAGGTAATTCATTTTAGGAGCAGAGGGCTGAAATCACACAAGTGAAAAGTGGTATCAGAAAGGTTGTGTCTGCATATTGTATAATCAGTGATACGTGAATAGCAGAAAAATAACACTTTGGTCTTTAGAATACTAAGACTTCTTTCTCTCATTTAATTTTTAAAAATAATTTTAATGTTTATCAAAGTGGAAAAAGTCAAACAGTAAAAGGAATTATAACAACGTTATCAGCAAAACTTTGTGCACTTGACACGAGGGCCAAATTTTCCTCATATTCTGTTCCTCTCAGGTAGTGCCTTTAAATATTTTTCCTCTACTTTCTGGCACACTTCTAAATAATAAAGGAATATTGCTCTTTTTCAAGTCATCAACTTTAAGATAGTAACTATTGACTTTCACATATGACAATGAAGACTTAATTCTCTTATATTCTTACTTCCCCTCCCGTATATTTTCAGTACAAGTTATGGCTAAACATTAATATTTTCATTATTGTGACAATTCACTGCTCAACCAAGTGGTGTATAATGAGTATAATTCCATTTCTCCATCACTGTTTTTCTGTGATGATGACCTTATCGTTTTCTTTGCTTGATTTTCTTCAATTTTATCCTAAGTCTTAGAGCATTCTTCAACTCTATAAAAAAAAGGCCACTCAGTGTAATTTTCCAAAGAGCCCAAACTGTCAGGAAGGCTACCTTTTCTATTAGTTTTCCTGAATGTATTCCTTTGTAACTCTTCATTCTCATGTTCTAATTGGAATTGCTTATTCTTGAGACCAACTGCACAGGTGCTGTCCTGGGAATTCCATTTAAAATCATCCTGGTGATTGACTGTTGACTTGTGTTTCTGTTGACTAACTGTTTCTGAAATCAAATAACTAACTCCTTCTTGATTTTCTTCCAATTTTGATGGAGACCAACCTTCACTTGCTTCCTGAGAACGGTGCATGGAATATCAAGTATTTAGAAAGCCTGAATGTTTGAAAAATATTCTATACACATATAAGACTGATAGTTTGGCTACTTACAGAATTCCAGGTTGAAAATAAATTCCCCTCAGAATTTTGAAAACTTTACTCCCTTATCTTCCACTATCCCATATCGTTTTGGACAGATTATATGTGGTATTCTGAAGTTTCACAGTAATGTGACTTCTGGTGGGTCTGTTCTTTCTTTGTGATGACAGTTTTCAATCTGAATATTTAGGTGCTTTATGTCTGGAATAATTTCTCTCATAATGTCCGCTCAATTATATTTTCTCTTCTCTCTGTCTTTTATTTCAAATCTCATACTGAAATTCCCATACCGATCTTCTAGGGCCTTTTTTCTTTTTCTATTTTATATCTTTTTGTCTTTTGTTTATCTTCAGGGAAAATTTTCTTAACTACATTTCCAACTGTTTTAATGAATTTTTAATTTTAGTTATATTTTTAATTTCCAAGAGTTATAATTTTAATTTCCAAGAGTTATTTCTTACATCATTGTACATATTTTACTCTGTTCTTGTTTTTAAAATACAACATTTTGTCTCTCTGAGAATATTTTAGATAATTTTTTTTTTTTTTTTGTACGGAGT